ATTGTGTTCATGACTCAGCAGACAAACTCTTTTGACTGTCTTTGGAATGCAGATTAAATATAACATCCCCCTTGTATGCATTAAGTTTGTTGTACAGCTATTGTTTTAAAACATAATTTTAAATTTTTGCCACTTATGCAATGGCGGATTGCGTGTTAGACTTGTAGGTGAGAGTATTGCAGGTGCCTCATATAGTCAGATCCTCATTTCTAATTAAGATTAACTCTCAAATGGCTTGATGAAGTTAGAGCTATGCTGTCTTTTGTGGAGCACACTATTTTTCTGGATTCAACAGAATTTGGTATTTAAACCATGAAACTGAGTTTCTTCAGCCATTATGTTATTTGCCTTTATGCACTTCAGCTATTTTCTACATATTCTAGCTTTGACATTCGAGAATTCATGGAAAAGTGCTTTGGTCTAAGAAGGCAGGAAAAGGGCAAACATAAGCACCTCTCTTTACCTAAGCTTCATTTAACTTATCCTTCCAGCTAATCAAGCAAAGAATTCAACTATTAAATTAAGTATCCATAAGAAATTACAGTAACTGCTAGAATCTGTAGATCTCATTGGGGTGAAAGAAACTATATATACGCAGCATCACAGTTTTCCTAGATGGCTTGACATGCCTGGAAAATCCTAAATTTTCCCAGTTGATTCCATCATGGTCTTTGGGCAAATATAATCAAGTTTGGATCCATGATCTGAAGTAGCTACTTCAGATGAATTCCAGGTGTCTGTGCTGGGGTTTTTGACCACAGATTCTCATGCAGTCAGAATAATATTATGACTATTTCACCTCTGGATGGTTTACTGTTTGGCACAAGTGACTTGAGGAAAGAGAAGTCCCAGGTCCCTTTGGCTGTGGCAAACTGGCCTTTTCAAGAACTGTGCATATACTCCCAGTGCAGGGTGTAACACATGAAGTATGCTTTTTACAGAACATGTTTATAAAGAACAATGTAGCAGTATTGCTTTCCAAGATTTGATAGATTCATCTAGAGTGTGGCAAATATACTGATGCATCTTGCAGAGTAATTGTACAAATTAGCACGAGAACATAAGTAGGACATGTTGAGCGCTCAAAGCAATGTAGAAATGCTCATTACTGTTTTTCATTCATAAGGCAGCTGTAATTTGGTGTGCAGTTCCACCACCTGTCTTTGCATTGAATTCATGAAGTCTCGTTCCTAGTCATAGGCAGACTGAGGTAATGTTCTTGTTTGGAAGGTACTACAAAACATGATTTTCCTCTGTGATAACAGTCTGACATGGAAGTGGAAATCCAACCATTAACACAAAGAACACCAGTATTTCTCTCCTCTCCACCCAGAGGTGTTACTGGGAAAATAGCTCACGTGAAAACATCAGTGCAGGGCAAGGTCTTTAAACACTGGCATCTTCAGGGTTTGTTTAGTTGTGGCAATTTCAAGCATAATTATGACTTTGGTTAAAGGCTTAGTAAAAGCACTAAGGGTGGGTTTTTGATTAAGGTTTGAGCAAGCCATAGAGGCCTGCTTTGCACAAAATGCTAAGCCATAATGACTGAATTCACACATTGCACAAAGCCAAAACCAAACTGTTTAGCATGATATGACAACCAGCCCTGATGATCTGAAAGGTCTTCAGTTTCTTGACATGATATATGGTGGTTAAAAGCAACCATGTTATTGTTGAGAAGGATTTGGGCTAGGGTATCTATATGTATTCTGTCTTCCTTTCATGATTGTTCTGGCCTAGTGATGCTGTTAGAATGAAGTATGGATGCATTGTGGTTTTGAAGCAAGGAAAAACACTTTAAGAAATTTGATCCTGGATTTCTCATATCACATTTAGTTTACACATTTGAGTTCACGCATCTCACTGATGTGTGCTGTGGTTTGTTTGCTTTGGGCTTATTGTGGTCTGTGAAATCTAGCCATTTTGGCTTATTCCATAGGCTGTAGATAAGAGAAACCATTGTTTTGTGTGATGTGTGAAATGGACTAGTATGTTGGGAAGAAATGTCCATTTTGTGTCAGTAAATGTGAGTGTACATGTGAAATATACTTTAGCAAGCCAAAACCTCTTCTGAAAATACAGTTGTAATGTTATAGTTGCATTACATCTCATTACCATGGATTCAGAATGCAGATCCTGTGATTCCAGTAGACTACAAACAAAACTTTTTTAGTTCATATGCTTCTTTTGCTGCCACATAGAAGTTCTTTTAAAAGTTACATTTTCAAAAGATAACAACAATAACAACAACAACGTGTTTGTTTTAGGAGAGCAACAGAAAGAAATGCCATCTCCTTTCTGCTTTTAAAACAACTTAAAATGTCTAATTTCTTCAGCATGTTGTTATAGAATTCCGTATTGCTTACCAGCCAGTGTTTTGAAATTTACAACTGATAACAAAAATGATTTTCTGATCTGTTTTTGTTTTCAGACCCTGCTACAATATGCTGGCAATCAGGGTGCTTCGGAGCAAGTTTTGCCTTTTTTGGAAGTATATCGAGTCGCCATTCAGAGCTTTGCCAGTGCCCGACCTTACTTGACTACAGAATGTGAAGAAGTTCTTCTGGTACTTGGCAGGCTAGTATTGTACGTTTGGTTTCAGGCATTCTGTTTTAATTGAAATTTTGCTCTGTAGTAAAATCTCTTTTCTCCATGTATATCTGTAGCCTTATTTTAGTTATAGACAATCTGGTGCCCTCCAACTGTTCTGGCCCCAACTAGGTGTCAATTGTAGGAACTGTAAGTCAAAAAATCTGGAAGGCACCAAGTTACCTGTCCTACATGGAATACAAAATCATGTGCGGTGTCCATGTACAGGGATCCTGAGAACTGTTGGAGGAGGAGTTGTGGAAAGGGTTAGTTTTTAAAGCACCCTACTATGATGCTAATATATAAATATAGTTATCAAGAATCTATTGATTTTTTTTCTCATAAGATGTGTGTATATATATTAATAGCAGTTATGTTGTTACATTGAAAACAGTTTAATGGAGCCCAGCAGAGTGAACTTTTCATGCAACAGGCCAGATTTCCACAGAGATTTACACTGTTAGTGTAATGATGCCATCACCCAAATAATACTGTTACAAGTGTGGTAGATTGTGCAATGTCATTCTTTGGTATTCAATAGGCATTTGTGATTAAGGGACACTCGTCCCCACAATCAGTCTATTAAAATAAAGTTTCAAAATGTTTAATTATATTTTCTGTTTTCCAATAAGTAAAAAGTACTTGCAGTTCCTAGCATGCTTGTATATTCTTTTGGCTTGGAGTGATAATAAGGCAAAGTAGAAAATGATTCAATAACAACAACAAATGCTCCTTCCTGTCCTTTCTAACAACCTGTTTATTTCAGGAGCTGTTTTGAACAACTGCTGTCTGTGCCTGAAAGTGAAGAGCTGTCTGAACCATTTTTAAGATTGTGTCAGTCCATACAGGCGAGTATATTGACTGTTTTTTCTACAAAGGACGTGGTTTCATCTATCATTTATAATCAAAGAGACTTGTGTCTATGTGTGATTATTTGAATAACATCAAGGCCTGGTTGGCATATTTGCGTGAAGCCACAGCTTGTTCAATCATCATTTATTGAATGAACCACAGTAGGGGAGGTTTGTATAATTCCTTAAGCTGTGAACTGTGGTTTAGAAAGTAAATTGACTGGACTCATAACCTGCTAAACCAAAACCAATCTGACCACATTATGTTAAGCAAAGTATCTGAATCCAACCTAAGCGTATAATCCTTGTAGAAACGGCGTCTGTTAATTCAGAGATGAAATTCAAGGACCCATTTTTGTGCTGTAGTGTTAATTTACTCCTATCCTGCATATCCTCTGTCTTTGGTTCAGCCGAGAAAAGAATTAGAGGATGGGCGGATGTGGATTTGAAAGAAGCAGTGTGCAACTTCCAAAGAGATATAGATCAGCAATGCAAAATGTATGCAACATGGTTATGCATTTTACCCTTTTAAAGTTCAAATTGAAATGACAAAACCAGCAATGATTCCAAGTTAAACATAACAACAATTTAAAATAACTTTTTTTTCTCGTAGGACTCCCATAATGCTTTACTTGAGTTTGGAGACAATAGCCTTGAAATTCTAGCTGATATCTCAAAAGAAGGTGTATGGAAGAATCCAGTTCTTTTAAAGATTATTTCACAGCAGCCAGTAGAAGCAGAAGAAGGTAAGCTGTTAAGCTGTCCTTTTGAGCTTTGTATTACTTTCCTGCCACCCCACTGTAAACCAAATCTGTCTCTTCACTGTGGATTTTGTTTTATTTTGCCTCAGAGGAACCAAGCAAGAAGATAGGTGCTTAAAAACTGCTGTATCTAATAGCAAACTTGCATTTATAGTTAATCCTGAGCTGTCATTTTAAGTCCTTTAACATGCCCTTATTCACCATTTTTATTTAGATTGGCACCTCCCTTTGTGGTAGTAAAAAAAGCCTCCTTTTTTTTTAAAGTTCTGTTGGTGACTTTTTCACTTTTGTAATTCATTTTTTAAACAGTCTCCAAAATATATCTTAGTTCTTGAGCCATTACAATAATCATTTTTCTGACTATGCTATTGCAAATTGGCCTATCTATCTATCTATCTATCTATCTATCTATCTATCTATCTATCGTTAAAATAAGTAATACTTAAAATAGGTAGTCCACATTGTCCTGCATTTCATTTACTTGAGATGGAAAGAACTCCTCAGCTCTTGCCTTAACTAGTGACTAAATGCCATAGGGTAGTTTCTTTTGCACCTTTCCAGAAAAAACACTGTGGAGATGATCAGCCATTCTGCCCCAATGTAGGACTATTCCAGATATGTGAATTTCAACTCCAAGACATTTCAATAGCAGGGGAATGGGGAACTGGGGAGTTGAAGTCATCTGAAGGGCACCCAGGAAGGCTTGGGGAGACCAGTGGGGCCCCTGTGCATTAATCCTACAGGGGATCATTGCAAGACCACGGGACTTGGGTCATATAGCTTTGAAATATACGTGGCATGATAGTCTACAATCACTCTGAAGATCTCCTCCTTGATCTAAGCCTTCATAATAAACTAGTAGTTAATAACATTTTATTGCCTTTTTTCTAGTGAATCAATTGATTAAACGTGAAGGGCTGACATTTCTGCAAATGAGAATAAAACATTTAATGAAGACAAACCATCTTCCTCAAGCTGCTTCCTTGTCCAAATTGTGTAAAGAGTCTACAGAAATTCCAGATGTCTCTCCTTTTCTTCAGGCCTATATAACATGCTTGTGCTCCATGCTTCCAAATGAAGAGTCCATCAAAGAGGTGAGTGGCCAATCACTATAGCTTGTTACTATTAAGGCAACTGATATTAATTTTAGTATCTGAACTAATGTGACCAAATCTGGGTGGGGTGGGAGAGTTGGTTCTCATCCCAGCAGGGGCTAAAACCTTTTTCTACTCTGCAGAAGGTCGAAGGAGACAGGTAATCCATAGTGTGAGGTTGTCCTGCGCTATTCCTCTTTGTCCTTACCAAAAATAAAATAAAATGTACCTTCTTGTTTGGCACAGGAAGACTCAACTTTTGCAGTGTTATTTTAGCTACTGTTGGGAGATACTGTAACAGTTCATTATAGCTACATTTTCCTTGCTTTACAAAGTCCTTCCTTGCCAGTTCCTTTTCAACCCATTTTGGGTATGCATACATAGCACTAAACATTTTACTCTTCACAATTAGAATACTCACTAGTGTTCTGTGTTGCAACAGCTTCCCTGTCAATATTGGTATTTGTGTGTGTCTGTATGTTTCACCTCAGTAAAGCAAATGCAGTGTTTTCAACGTAAATCAGTAGCTTTGCAAATAACTAGGGAGGCTGTAAAGGTGGTAGCTTATGTTTTACACTGATTGTCCCCCCCCCAATATATTTTTACAAGTGTTACACATTTGGGTTTGGGGCATATGATTGCAACCCTTCTTGACTTTTTTGACCACCTCCTTCCCTTGGCTATCCCTAAAACAAGGTGTCCCAGTGATAATTTTCAGTAAAGTGAGTGTGGTGGTTACAGGCTGGAAAGGAGAGAGTCTTCCACTGCTTCTGCTGTTGTTATATTTTTATCCTGCCTCTTTTATATGTTTTGGCCAGGGTAGTTAACATATCTAATACTATTGCCTCCTATTTTCCCCACAACATTCTTTAAAAATCAGACAATGTGATTTTCTGGGTTTTTTCCCCCATTTTGTCTCTCATAGTTGAGGTATACCTGGGATGAAAATTACAGGCCTCTCTCATCTTTTTAAGTGGGAGAACTTGCACAATTGGTGGCTGACTAAATACTTTTTTGCCCCACTGTATGAGAGACAGAGAAATAAAAGGGGTGAAAATATGACTAAAAAACCCAGAGATTATTTATTTTCCCCACAACATTCTTTAAAAATCAGACAATGTGATTTTCTGGGTTTTTTCCCCCATTTTGTCTCTCATAGTTGAGGTATACCTGGGATGAAAATTACAGGCCTCTCTCATCTTTTTAAGTGGGAGAACTTGCACAATTGGTGGCTGACTAAATACTTTTTTGCCCCACTGTATGAGAGACAGAGAAATAAAAGGGGTGAAAATATGACTAAAAAACCCAGAGATTATTGTTGGATAACTGATGATATTTTTGGAATCTGCTGTTCTGTACCTTTTATGAGAACAAGAATTCTGTGAGGCAACTAGAGATTTTATGCCTTCTTCACTTGGTTAATAATTCAGATGAGTAATTGCCATTTTGATCTGCATAGCTAAAGAATAGATTTGTGCTGTTGTTCTTTTTCAGTTTTTGTACAGATGCTTAGACAGGTGCTATTGAATCTACAGTAGATTCATGGAATCAAAACATAATATCAAAAAACATAGACAGTGGTCTATAGTCCACTGAATGCAATCCCCTGCTACATACAGGAATCCACATTAAACCATTCCCATTGTGATTATCTATAATGGACTAGTTACCAGGTGATCTCTCAGAACAGGATACAGAAGTTCTCCCAGGGGTACCTTTGCTTGTTCAGTAAGAAAAGAGGTTTTGTCTTAAACCACTTATGTCATTTTATTTCTCTTTAAAAAAGATTTCCAAAGTGGACTGCAAAGAGGTCCTAGATATGATATGCAATTTGGAAGCTGAAGGCCAAGACAGCACTGCTTTTATTCTTTGTACAACATATTTCACTCAGCAGCTTCAAACAGCAAGTGTATACTGCTCTTGGTAAGTGGTGTGTCCAAATACTGGCTTTCAGAATTTCCCATCCTGATCAAAACTGCTTCTTAAAGTTTATAATTCAACAGCTGACCAAATAATAAAGACACTATGATGCTTTCTTATCTGTTGATGAGAAGCATTAACAGAAAAGAGAAATTAAGCATTTTAAAAATTTAAGTCTGGTATATTTGCTGCTACATTTCAAGAAGTAATAAATGGTGTGCTGATAGCAAAAGCCATGTGTTACTCAAGGTAGTAAAATTGTGTGCAGTTCCCTTTCTTGCAACCCTCTGAGCCTCCCTATTCCAGCTGCATCATTAAAATTCAGCAACAGTTTTCCAGGTTGCTTTAAGTATAAATAAGTGGATTAAATGTGTTGAATCTTTGGTAGCTGTATCATTTCGGTTTTTACTTTAACGAACACGCATAAAAGAGGCCCCATGTTTTTGGTCCTGTCTTGTCCCCTCAAGAAACATCATTACATGTACTCTATAACCCTTGGAGATTCAGTTTATTCTAAAAAAAATCTGTGGGCCCGATCAAAAGAAAATTACTTGCTTTTGATGGTGAAATTGATTCAGATATTCCCCTAGAGACACTTTCCTTTATATTTATATTCATTTATTTGAATTTTTCAATGTTCCTAGAGACACTTTCCCAATTTTGGTACCACCTAAATGTGTTGGGCTGTAACTCCTATATTTTCTTGTCAAGTTTTGGCTGGGATTGGTTGGCAGTTGTGGAATTTGTGGGAATTGTCTTGCATTCTCTCTAATTCCTTGTTTTTCCCAAACTCTTCTTGCAGGGAACTAACTCTGTTTTGGAGCAAATTACAAAGAAGAATCGACCCATCTTTAGATTCCTTTCTGGAGCGATGTCGGCAGTTTGGTATCATTGCCAGAACATTGCAACACTTGTTCTTCCTCATAAGAGTCATACAAGCTGAAGTACGTATCCATTTACAGTTTACTAACATCTGCTGTTTGAATTTGTGGAGGGTGAAAATGTATCACATTATGGAAACTGTGTATCTGTATAAAATATTAAAAAATATATAAGGAACTTGGAGGTGCATTCCTGCCTTGGCTTCCGAAGGTAGAGTGATTGATTGTACTTTCCTGTGGATAGATTCCATAGATTGAAGATTCGACACCTGACAAATTGTATGTTTATATATAATTCATATATTACATATTTATATACTTTTTGCAAACATTTTTGCCAGCTCAAATTGTAGCCTGCTGCCTCCCAGCTTGCACATTATTCCTTTCTAATTCTGACTTGACCTGGCTGTTTCTCCAGTTTTTCTTTACTCTTGCCAGTTGGGGTTCCCTCTGCTTCAGGTTGCCTGAAGTTCTTGCAGAGTGGAATTTCCTATCTTTCAAGGCCTCTTTATCCTAGCCTACAAATAACAGTGGAGCACAACAAATTTTATCCCAGCTCCTGCAGCCTCCTGCTCTATTTATGTTGCTCTTCTGCAGAGCTTCTGATTTTTCCACAGGGTCTCTGTCTGAAAAGATAAGGGAAGTAATTCAATAGCATAGAAGTTTGGAGTTGAAACAGGAAGTGATAAGTGATTGCACAGAAATTGAGACTTTGTTGTTTTGCATCAGAAGAGTATCTAGAATTAGATGCCTGGCCACTTAGATCTCTGGCCAATTTCAAACTTACAACTGAGTCATCTGCAAATTTAAGGTGTCTCCTCCCTGAGTATGCTTAATCCCAAAGAATGCTAAAATCCATAAAAATTAAGGTCTAGCTTAATGAGTGATGCTTTGATCTGCAGCTTTTCAAGCCATTTCCATTTAATTTGGAAGAATTGTCTTGTTTGTTTCAAAGGCAGAATAAATTTATATCATCCTGTTTTTCCTCTTGTGTTTTGACTTACATTTCATTCACAACCTCTCTCTCCAGAGCAGGTTTGTTTAGTCCTTGTGGTGCAGTAAAAATGGCTTTATTGTGGGATACTGAATGTTGCCGTTTGAAAAAAATGTAGATCAGCCTTCTCCAACTAATCTGGCCATCCCAACCACCTGGAGGACACTAGATAGGTGAAGGATGCTATGGATGCTTAGTGTTCTGGATATGTGCTTTGTGACTTGGAAAGGCCAGAACTTAAGCATCCTAAATTAAAAATCTGGCATCACTCCCAATTTACAATAATGTAAAGTTATTAAAAGGATTAAGAATGTACCTCTGTTGCTTGGAATAGATAGCCATATAATTGCTTCCAAACTGAAATATCCCAAAATCTAAGAAAAAGACTTATTTGTATTAGGTAAAATTCAGAGAAAAATAAGGCATTGATTTGTTTGTGTTTTTCCTTTTGTTAGGCAGAAGAAGCTGGCCTTGCTGTATCTGTCTTGCTCTGTGTGAGAGCTCTGCAGCTCAGGTCCAATGAAAATGATGACATGAAGAGTTCTGTTTGCAAAACAATTGCATGCCTTCTGCCAGAAGACCTTGAGGTTAGAAGGGCATGCCAGCTCACAGAATACTTACTGGAGCCAAGTGAAGAGGGGTACAGTTTACTAGAAGAACTATATCTGCAACCAGATCAGAAATTTGATGAAGAAAATGCGCCAGTTCCAAACTCACTCCGTTGTGAGCTTCTGTTAGCTTTGAAGGCCTACTGGCCCTTTGATCCAGAATTTTGGGACTGGAAAACTTTAAAGCGCCATTGTCTCAAATTGTTGGGGAAAGAAGTTTCTGAGTCAGAGGATGACCTGAGTTGCAATGAGATGTCATTCAATGAAACTGAGCTGTTAGATAGTCTCCCGAGTGACTGTGAAGAAAGTAGAGAAGAGAATAATTTTGAAAGTCATTATTTAAATCAGCCCAAAGAGAGAGTAAGAGTCAAAAAGCCAATTGGCTCCTCAGAGAGATATCAGAGATGGCTTCAGTACAAGTTCTTCTGTGTCATTTGCAAACGGGAGTGTATAGAGGCTCGAATACTTCACCATTCTAAGATGCATATGGAAGATGGTATTTTTACGTGCCCAGTATGTACCAAAAAGTTTAAGAGGAAGGATGTCTTTGTGACACATGTCATGGAGCATGTGAAAATGCCCCCCAGTAGAAAATACCGTGCGGAAAAGAAGTTGCTGTTGAAGAAAGAGAGACTGTCCAAGAGCAACCTATCCAGAATTGCTTCTGCAGCACTTGAAGAAAATCACCCCCTGAAAATAATTTCTTGTGAAAAACCCAGAAGTGACTCACAGGACTATGTAACATTTAGCAAGCTAGAAGGTTGTCATCTGCAAGACAGAGACCTGTACCCGTGCCCAGGCACAGATTGCTCCAGAGTGTTCAAGCAGTTTAAGTACTTAAGTGTTCACCTAAAAGCTGAACACCAGAACAACGATGAAAATGCAATGCACTACTTGGACATGAAGAACAGGCGTGAGAAGTGCTCCTACTGCAGGCGGCATTTCATGTCTGCCTTTCACCTGCAGGAGCACGAACAAGTCCACAGCGGCCCTCAGCCTTACATGTGTGTCTCTGTGGGTTGTTATGCTAGATTTGGCTCAGTGAATGAGCTGCTGCATCATAAGCAGCAGCATGATGATCTGCGTTATAAGTGTGAACTGAATGGATGTAACATTGTGTTCAGTGACTTGGGGCAGCTGTACCATCATGAAGCCCAGCATTTTCGAGATGCTTCTTATACATGTAATTTCCATGGCTGTAAAAAGTTCTACTATTCAAAAACTGAGTTAACGAATCATCTTTCAGTGCACATTTCAAATGGGGAAATGAAGGAGGTGCCTGTTAAACAAGAAGGTAATGCTTCTCGGGACAGTCTTGCCTGCCTTTCAGATTTTGATGGGTTTGAACACAAAGAGTCTTCTGATCAGCACGAAAATTGTAGTTTGCCTTCTGGATCTACAAAGAGAGAGGGAATACTGGAAGTGAAACAAGAGCCTCTTTCTGATGGAGAAGTGGGTGGCAAAAATAATGGCAGTTTGGAAAGTAATACTGCATCCCTGGCCAGTGAGAAACAGATGACCTCAGTAACTGACCCTGTGGATCGAGGCCAGGCTGTTTCAGGGGCTGCGCTACCTCATGAGAAGGCCTTCCTTCCTTCCAATTTAAAAGAGCGTTACTCAAACGTGGCTGTCTATTTTGATGGGAAAAAGTTTACCTGTGGTTTTGAAGGCTGTGGATCAACATACAAAAATTCAAAGGGCATGCAAAAACATCTACGAAGGGCCCATCCGTACCATTTCAAGCCAAGAAGGAAAGCTAAAGGTGTCAGTCAGGTCAGTGAAAGTCAGCACGCAGGCATAGTTGGAGAGATTAGCTCAGAGCTCCGACATACAGACTCTCCGGACATTGCAGATTTTATTGCTGTCTCTAAAAGCAAAAACTATTTAAAGGAAGAACTGTGCCCTTCTTCCCCAGAATCCTCATTCTTTGTACATTCAAAAATGTCCAGTACTGAAGACAACATGTTGGAACTGCTCTTGGGCTTGAAGCACTTAAGTTTAAAGAATTCTAGTGGTCATAATTCTTCCAGGTTGTTGCAGTCCTATTCATCCAAGTGCCCCAACTCTGAAGACGAATCTACCTCTGACCATTTTCCCGAAGAACAGAGCGGCAAGCTCCCAACCCAATACCTTACCCAGTTGGCTGCCAAGCCATTTTTCTGCGAGCGTCAAGGCTGCACGTGTGAATTTGTGACCAGAGAGGCGTTGCTGACGCATTATGTTAGAAAACATAATTATTCAAAAGAAATGGTGCTTCAGTTGAACATGTTCCAACATCGGTATTCACCTTTTAAATGTCATATTTGCCAAAGATCCTTTACAAGAAAAACACATCTTAGGGTCCATTACAGAAACAAGCATAAGCTTGGCAGTGTGACAGCCACCCAGAAACTATTTGCAAATGAAAGTTTTGAGGATATGAGCGAATGTGCTGAGGACATGCTGAACAGCACAGTGGATTCAATGACTGCTTTCTATGCCAGTACAGATACAGAACTTGACAACAAAGCCAAACTCACTGCGGAACAGCACCGTCATTCCAAGAAGGAAGACTTCAGTTCTGAAACCGATCTGGAATCCAGCGAAGAGGCAGAAAGCTGCGTCACTGGAAAGCAAGCTAAGTTATCATCTCTGGACAGCCATAGAAAAGAATTGGAAGCAAATGAAGGGAGGGGAAGTAAAAGAACAGTTGCCAAAGGAAACTTATGTTACATTTTGCATAAATACCACAAACCGTTCCATTGTATCCACAAAAATTGCAATTCCGCATTTACTAATCAGAAAGGGTTGATTCGCCACTACAGAACTGTGCATCGGTATAACAAAGAGCAGCTCTGTCTTGAAAAAGACAAAGCAAGAACCAAGAGGGAACTTGCCAAATGTAAAAAACTGTTTGTTTGTAAACACAAGGCCTGCAGCAAGCGTTTCCTTTGTTCTAAATCGCTTGCTAAGCATTGCAGTGATTCCCATACGCTCGATCATGAAGACGATTCAAAAGTGCTTTCTGAAACAGTGAGGTTTCCTTGTCATCACCCTCACTGTCCAGCTGCGTTTTATTCTTTCCCCAAGTTAAAGCATCACCTGACAGAAGAGCATGAAAAAGAGGAGGACCTGAACAAAGGCACTGAAATCCATTGTGATCTGAATGGTTGTAACAGAGTTTTCACAACTTACAGCAGCTATTCTCAACATGTGTACTTTCGACACAGTGATTACGATGGTGTCTTGAGAGGAGCCAAAGAAAAGGGGAACCATCTTAAAGATGAAGAAGAGCAAAGGTGCTTAAAAGATCGGTGTCTCAGGCAAGATGGAAGTGAGAAAAAGAGGCAGAACAGTGAAAAGGTTGAAAAGAGTAGCAGCAGAAATAAAGGAAAGCAATTATATACCTTCAGAACAAAGGTAGAAGCCCTACAGATGTGCAGAGACAATTGCAACCAAACGCAGTATCCTTGCATGGTTCAGGGATGTCCCTCCGTCGTAAAACTGGAAAGCAGCATTGTGAGACACTATAAGCGCACCCATCAGATGGCCGGTGCTTATATTGAGCAGCAGTATGACGAGCTTGTTCTGTGTGTTGAATGCGGCACAGCAGTGAATGACCTCTGCCTGGAAGCAAGTCCTGGTTCAAACACGGAGGCCAACTCTGACTTTAAACAGGATGTTGCGGGGCACTCTCCGTGTGAGCACAAAAAGGAGAGGCATCTTCCTAACTCCAGTTGTGATGGCGATGATAAAGGCAACAAACATGATCGGTATTCTGAAGGGGACGATTCCCAGGAAGCTGGTGTCCTTGTGTATTCAGGCACTTTAAAACATATCCATAATCCCAAAACCAGATGTTCAGAAGATTGTAATCTAGTGGGGTCATCTCAACAGTCTAAGGGAGAGACAGGGAATATGCTGGGAAGTCATGGACAAGAGAATGCCTCTTACTGTGCGAGATCGGATGTGCAGTTATCTAGGGAGAAAGATGCTAACGACTGGCAGTCCTCGCAGCAGATGATAAAAAAGCTTCCCTTTCCTACTCCAAAAGAGAAAGTTCATAAGCCATCGATGGCCAAGCCCTTTGATCTAAAGTCCTTCAAGCCAATGGGGTTTGAATCTTCATTTTTGAAGTTCATTCAGGAAAGCCAGGAGCGAGAAGAAGAAGAAGATGATGACGATGATGACCTCCTTGAGAATGAGTGGGAGCCAGCTGAACCCTATGGAATGGGTGGTGTGATAGAGAAGGCTAAAGACTCCAAACGGGATATGTCACAGGGCAGAGGCATGTATGAAAATGTCCCCCCTGCAGCCTTGTCCAAGAAGAACAGTGGCGCCAAAGCTCATGGGCAGCTGAGAGGAATGCAGCCCCTCTTATCCACGGACTCTTCTTCCCTCCCTTCTCTGGAGAACCTGAGGGCCATATTGGACAAGGCATTAACAGACTGTGGGGACCACGCCTTAAAACAACTTCATTATTTGCGGCCAGTCGTTGTTCTCGAAAGATCTAAATTTTCCCCCTCCCTCATAGACTTTTTTCCAACAAAAAAAGCAGATCACCTTTGTGTGGGAAGTTCATAAAATGTTGTGTTTATTTAAAAAAGAAAGAGAGAGAAGAGACTGCCTCCACTACTGGGGAAATGCTAAATTTGGTTCAGTGCACATGTTGTTGAGGTTAGATTAGACTGTTCAGTTCCATGAATGTATGACATCTGTCTACAGTATTGGCTAATATAGCTCCCCTACTAAATTAAGAGAGAGAACTGATATTTTGGTGCTAATTAACAGAATATCAAAGGGGGGGGGGGCTTCCTCTTGCAGAGTAAATGTGCATGATTGTATATGGAACAAGTACTTAGGGTACCAAGGTTGGGTGGGAGAGGGTGGGGAGATGGTGATCTCACTTGACTTGAATGTGCACCTCAGGGTGCTTTGTGTAACATATTGTACACTACAGCATCTTATATTTTTTGAGTTATGAGTTTCAATAAAAGGAATTTTTTCACCCATTTTGGTTGACTACAACCAGATGTTGACAGCATAAGAACATTTGAACTGAGTGTGGTGTGTAGCAATTCTGAATTCCTGGCACATGACCTGAATGTGACAGTGTGTTTATGTCTTAATGCTGATTGGAGGAAACTATTCAGGATGGGATATTCTATTGCAAAAAAAATGGCAGGGGGAACTCTAGCAAAATTAAACGTGAGAAATTTTTATAAGGTATGTCAAGAAGGAAAGGAGCAGCTCGCTAAAGTTGTTAACCTTATCGTGAAAAAAATGTAAGCCGTCTCCATTATAGGGAGCTTTGCCCATAAGGAATCCTAATATAGGCAAAAATAAATGAAGATTGTCCCTGGAAGGAAACTGCATTTCAGATGGAGAAAGTGAAACTGGTTAAGAAGTTTCCTGTGACAAAATATATTCTGAGCATCTCCCCCTTTCCCTTTTAAAAAAAAAAGTAAGGATTACTTTTTTCTTTATCCTTTTGATTTAAGGGGGACAAAATCCAGAATACGTAGTTTTCTTTCCTTTATTGAAGCTGTTAAGTAAAATTCAGCCATTAAATTGCTGTTATTGCCTGAGTAAAGGATACATTTCAACTGTAGACCCTAAATATACTTTGATAAGTAAACCAACTTATATACATTGTATTTTCTAAGTTAAAAAGTGACTATATCTTCAAAGCATCTGTATTGTAACATTTCGTTTCTTTGCAAACACTCCCCCCTGCCCCCGTTCCAGTTTCTTTTTTGTTGTTAATCCCTAGATATGTGTGAGATGGAACAGGAATTGCTTTCTAGAATCAGACCAAAGACCTTTCAAATCCTTTGTTTGTAAACAGTTGCAAGCCAGATACCCCTAGTTACCTAACTCTGAAGAAGAAATAAAAAGCAAAGATGCCAATTAATATTTGCCACAACTGGTGCTGGCCAGTCATATCTTTTGAAGACAGATGTTGACTCTTCAGGGAATTCAAAGCGTTTGTTCAGAACACAGTTGACTAGTCTACTGCTTTCTAGTAGCGTTCTTAATCCAACGTCTGTTCAGTGTATTTGTCAAACTGCATGGAATTTTCAGGTCTAATCCATTGGTCAGGATTTACTAGCTTTAGCATTGCAGTACCATTAAGTATATTTGGGCAATATTCTGCTTTAAACCAGATAATGTTTTACCTAATGTTTGGACGTAATACTTTCTGTTTCCAGAAATGCTCCTCTGCGCTGAACGATAAGGTCATAAGGTTGAAAAATAGTCACTGTAGTACAGATTTCCAAAGTCATCAGTCAGACCATCTCTTTAGTGCATTATTTGACCACGCATGCATCAGTGTACTAGATTACCTTGACCTGAACGTGAGAAGGCTTTCAGTAAATCAGTTTTTCTTAGAGGAAGGCTCTTTTCCCATCCGCTGCAGTTGGTTTGACGACCGACTTTTCCACTGAGAGAATTTCTGGTGTTTAAGAGTAAGAGTAATGTTGAATAGGCCAATGTTGCACACTGGGAATTATAAAACAAAGAATAATGGCCCTAAAATTTAGGGAATTTGAAAAGGTATACCTAGTTGTGGCCTCAGAGGTATAAGTGCAGAATAACAGAAACCAACAGCTCCATTTTTTAAATATTCCTTTAAAACTAGTAGATAAAAGTGTCATTGGTTTTTCCTGATCTAATATATTGTCATATCACACAATCTTTTTTAAATTTCTAAATTTGTAGCTAAGTATCTACTCAAAATGTGTGGATAGCAAATATCCCCGATAAAGTGTATAGTAGTTAAATGGGGGTTTGCAAGATCTATTCTTCTCCAATAGGCCTTTTGAATGGTGATTCAATTCTTTTACAAGAGGCCAAGTTCTAATACAACTTTTAAGCAATTTTTAATTATTTGTTTGTAGCTGCCTTTAAAAACATCCTTCTTGCCTTATCTTATATTCCTGTCTGTAGTAACTTGCCAAAATCAATGCACTATCTCCAGTTAATCGCTTAAGATAAATTTCCACTACATAAAATGATATCCATTAAATTGTAATAAATTTTTATACTGATGTTTAGGCTTGTTGGCATGCTTTTTGGTTCTCTCTATATTTTGCACCTACTTTGGAAGTACTGCATTTAGAAAGCAGCAGAAAATTAGCCCTGCTACTACGTCATGTGACATTCTAAAGCAAATAAGTAGAATTAAGTTGAAGCACAGGGCGATCCAGAATTTTTTTTAAAAAATGGGATTAAGCAAGTGAGGTATCAAGGCTGTAAAAATGTATATGGAATGCAAGGTGAATTTATTGCTGTAGTGATTCATCTAGAATATGTTTTTGTATTGGAGAGTTAACTGTTATGTAGATTGGATTTGAATATTTGTAACCTTGTTATGGTTTTGTGAAGGTTTTTTATCTGTGCTGAAAGAAAAGGGGGCAAAAATTGGGCCTCAAATCTGTCAGAAAATCCCATTCTGTATTCGAAGTAATTTTCTTAATCCACAATGGAGTTTCTCTGTAACAGGTCCTCAGGAGGTATACACGCTATTTACTGTCTCAAGCTCACTGAAATCTACTCCCATGTTGGAGGGCTAACCCTTGCCTCAAGGCTTCTTTCTCTCACACCAAATTATTTTTCCCCCCTTGCTACTGGAATGAGTGACATTTTGCCAATGGGGTGTCATTTTCAATTAATCTTTTGTGGGCCACAGGAGACATGACTGGTGATGCAGTGATCATAGAATTGGTGAATCAGGGGGTTGGAAGGGTCCTCACTGGTCCTATAGTCCAACCCTCTGCTTGGTGGGGGGCCTGCTGAAGCATTTTGGACAGATGGGTCTCCAGCCTCTGTGTGAAGATCACCAATGAGGGGGAACACACCACTCCTGGCAGTCCTTTCTGCTGGTTGACAGCTCTTAACTCAGCAAATTCTTCCTAATATCTACTTCACTGTAGGTTCACCCCATTAATACTGGTCCTGCCTTGTATGGCAGCAAAAACAAGTCCACTCTCCTCTACATGACAATGTTGGGTCTTTTTTTCTGTAGCAAAATATGCCCAGTTCCTTCATCCCATTTCAATATAGGGCTAATATTCCAAGTGGGCTGAACAGGAAGAACAGGGTGGGACAATTAACTTCCAGTGTTCTGTACTCTGATTGTTAATACATCCCCAAATGTATTAATGGGCACATCTGCCTTTTTAGCAGCTGCATCACACTGTTGGCTCATGTGCAACTCATAATAATCTTCTAGAACAACACCCAGATCTATTTCCTCCTGCCGTGTCAGGTGTCCCTCATTCTACCCTTGATATCGTTCATTCTCAGGCAGGACTTGACATTTCACCTTGTTAAATTTCATCCCATTTGTTTTGGCCCTCTGTCCAATCTTGTCTAAATCTTTTGGAATCTTCTCTTTTAAAGGGTTACCCATTCCTAGTTTTGCACTGCTTGCAGGTTTGATAACTCCCTCAACTCTTTCATCCAGGTCATTAATTAAAATGTTGAAGAGCACACAGCTCAGGATACTGCCTGGTAACAATACTACTCACCAAACTGACGTGGAATCATTTATGAATAGTCTTCAAGGTGATCATTCAGGCAGTTATGAACGCATCTAACAGTTGTATATATTTTACCATTTTACTAATGAGGATATGTCACAGAATGATGGGAAGATTGAAATATTTGGCTCTTTTGAGGGGAGGGACAAGTCACCCATTTTGCCCCCCCCAACATGAAAAACTACTGCCCAAAATTGCTGCTGGTAATGTGATTTTGGGGGGGTGTAAGGGCGAACATATAGGGCTGATGAGACTATCTCAGTGCGCTGACCTCTTTATACAGCACTAAAATCCAAATGCCAATGATTCACAAAGCAATTCAAGATACAGCTAAGACAACAGTAGTACTTGACAGCAACAGGACTAGCAAAAGGAATGGTCAGAAGCTGTTTTCTCTCAGTCCTATTTCCTTGAAACCTGCTGCTCTAACTTGTAGAAGTGGTTCTATACTTCCAGCTTATATTTTCATCTAGATGTAGCAAGGTTGGAAGTGGGATCTTCTTTGGCAAAAGATGTGCTTTATCACCATACTTTGTCCATCCCCAAACTCCACTGAACTGAAGATGGTCTGCTTTTCCGAGCTTCATACTTGATGGACTAAGATACTTGGTTTCTGCTTTAACCTTTTTAATATACAAGGAAACAAAGTGCCGCTTCCTCTGTTGCAAAGATCCTGGAGATTTATAGCTGATGTAGTAAAAGTGCACGTTGCCTGTTCCTGTTAAAGTAGAGAAGTCTTTGGAGGTGCTGAAAAGCTGTCTTAAGGAATCTCAGGTTTTAAAACATATAAGGAGATAACAGAAAATCCTGGATCATTTTGGAATTTTTGTCCAAACCATATCAAAAACACTTGTTCTACCAGAGAGTTTTCAATAGGTTAGTACTCACTGACTTTAGAAGAGTAAGCCATTGTAGTCCACTGCATCATTTCGGCCACAATTCCTCTTTTTGGGACATTTAAGTGGGTAAACTTAGGGATGTATTTGTGAAATGATTGATTAGGTGCCATCAAGTTGTCAACTCTTAAAAATTACATAGATAGATTTTCTCTGTGATGATCTGTCCCTAACCTGGTCCTTCAGCCACTGTAACTGAATCCATCCAACTTGCTGCCAGTTGTCCTCTTTCCTTTCACCTTTCCCAGCATTAGAGCCTTCTCCAGAGAGCTGGGTCTTCACATAATGTGTCCGAAATAGGATACAGGTAGTCCTCGGCTTACAGCCATTTGAAGTTAGGACGGCGCTAAAAAAGTTACTTACGACTGGTCCTCATACTTAAACCATTGCAGCATCCCTGCAGTCACGTGATCAAACTTCAGGTGCTTGGCAACCGGCATGTATTTACAATAGTTGTAGCTTCCTGAGGTTACATGATTGCCATTTGCAACCCTCCCAGAGGGCTTCTAACAAGCAAAGTAAATGGGGGAAGCCAGATTCACTTAACAACTACTGCTGTGCTTAATGACTGCTGTGAATTGCTTAACAACCTCAGCAAAAAAGGTCATAAAATTGGGCATGACTCACTTAATGACCACTTCACTTAGCGATGGGAGTTCCGGTCCCCATTATGGTTGTAAGTCGAGAACTACCTAATTTCAGCCTCTTTATTTATGCCTCAAGTGAGAACTCTGGGTTGATTTGTTTGATGGTTTAAAATAACTCTTTGCACAGCTCACAAAATCATAAATCAATTAAAAGCCACAACAGTTAACCAGAACTAATATGTATATGTGGGGTGGGTGGGGGAATGCACATTTGAATGGAGCGACAATACTTTGCTGCTACTTCTCCCTTCGTCTTATCAGTTAGATGATTAATGGATGAGTGGAAACAAATGATTTGCCTAAGGCTATTAGAAAGCCAGTTTGGTGCAGCGGTTAAGGCATCAGGCTAGAAATCTGGAGGCCGAGAGTTCTAGTCCTGCCTCAGGCACAAAGCCAGCTGGGTGACCTTGGGCCAGTCACACACTCTCAAGCCCTAGGAAGACAGCAAGGGCAAGCCACTTCTGAAATCTTGCCAAGAAAACTGCAGGGACTAGTCCAAGCAGCCACCAGGAGTCAACACAGACTTGAAGGCACCAAAAAAAGTGTTTTATAGCAGGGTTCCTCAACCTTGGCAACTTTAAGACGGGTGGACTTCAACTCCCAGAATTCCCCAGAAACCCTTGCTGGCTGGGGAATTCTGGAAGTTGAAGTCCACCTGTCTGAAAGTTGCCAAGGTTGAGGAACCCTGTTTTATAGGAGGCAGGCCACAAACATCTTCCCTATCACTTCCCCTTCCACTCCTCCCTGCCCCGCACATGGCGGACTCTCCGCCCTTCGGGAACCGGAAGTCCTATAGAAGAAGGGGAAAGCTCGTCCCGGAAGCACTTCGGGCGGAAGCGGTTCCGGAGATTGCTCTGCCAGTGTCATCGCAGCCGGAAGCCGGCTGAGGAGGACCAGGCGTGCCGGCGAGTGGCTCGGTGGGAGAGCGGCGGACGGAGGCCGAGCATGGCGGTGCCGCTGCTGGGCGATCTCTGGGCCGAGAGCCCCATTGAGAACCGGATTTTCTGCTCGGTGCTGCTCTTCTCCTGGGCCGTCTACCTGTGGGAGGCCCTGCTCGCCTGGCGGCAGGTCAGACCCTTCCTTCCCTTCCCGCCCAAGCCCGCGCTTGACAGCCCCGTCGCTAATTTAGGGCCGTGAGGAGACGAGTCACCCCCGCCGCCGCCTTGTGCTGGGTCGAGCGGGCCCTCCGTCTGGGGCTGCCGAGTACCGTGGAGGACGGGCGCAGGCGGGCAGCTCTCCCGAAGCCTCAGCGGTTGGGTTTGGCCGGCAGGATTGCAGTCCCGTGCGCGCTTAGGGAGGGGTATGCCATGTGAACTACTCTCACCCAAACCGATATAGGACGGACTCTTTTCCTTAAAAAGGCTTCGTTGGCATTAAGGCTGCGGTCAGTGCTGGGCTGGCTTTGTCGTCCAGCACCGTCTTCCCCCAGGGGTGTTTTCGGATTTCGACTCCCATAGGCGCTAGGAAGGATGGGCGATGAAGTGCAGCACGCCTGGAGGTCGCCTGGTCGGGCAATGTTGCCCCGTGTTTTTAAAAAGCTAAGTAATTAAGAATATAAGGAGAGCCTTGATCGATTATAAAGGCTGTTTCCACAGGTGCCACCTGTATAGCACTGGTTCTGAAATGCCTCTTTTCATCCTCCTGTCCCTGCATCCTCCCCCCATCAGAATTGCTGGGTGTCTTAGCAATCATGCTTGAAGACATCAAATCAAATGCGTGCCTCATATTTTTAATACTGTGTTTACCTTCAGTGCTGGTATTATTGTTAAGGCTAATATGAAAATTACAATTATGAAAATTACAAGCTCTTGTCTAGGCTTCTGAGAAGGGCCTCTTAACTGGTGTAGTCTGTTTCAAGGGTGGGACCATATTATGAAAATTACAAGCCTTTGCCTAGGCTATTGAGAAGGGCCTCTTAACTGGTATTGTTTGTTTTAAGGGTGGGTCCCCTTAAACTTAATGAAAAATAGGTGAACTATTACACCTTGGGAGGGTGTTTGACACTGGGATGTTACCATAGAGCAGGGCTTCTTTCTATCACAGAGCCTCAGGAACAAACTTTGATCAGTTTTTCCATAATAGTTTTGCCCCAAACCTTAAAAGAATTAATCCAACCTATTCAGTAAAAGCTATCAGGTAAACTGTAAAGAAGATTCCCGCTTCCCCCACTAAGAAAATTCATAGAACTTAGATCCATTGATTTGGTGATGTATTTCCTGGTCGTACGTAAGTGCTTTTGTAATCATGGTAGCTTTTTATTATCATTATGTA